GTCGGACGCTCAACCGACTGCGCCACCCAGGCGCCCCTGGTTCACCTTTTTACAACAAATTATTGTCATTTATTCCAGCAATTCAGTTGAGTGGGCACCATATCAAGTCTTGGGCCATTTTCTGAAGGAAGCATAAAAGAAGCATAAGCCTTTCCCAGAGTTTGTGTCTAAGTTGGAAATAAAAGAAACACACAAAGTTCTGAAGTAATAATGCAAGGCCAAGTGCTGAATGGCCCCGACATATATGGTTGAATCATGAGACTGCTGGTATTTCAGTCACGTTGACCTATAGAAAGGCAAGCTCATATGATTCAAGCTAATCTGTACTTAGGATTCCTAGAAGGACAAACAGCAGCTGGGCCATACCATTGTTTTAATGGGTAGAGAAATTACCTTAAGAGAATGCCTAAGTCTGGTTTTCATATGGCCCCCGTATGAGGTGCTATGAGGAAGTAGCTTGAAGTTACGTGGAGAATTTAAATGTTAAGCTAACTATGCAGTTTGGTAGAAGATACAGTAGAATAGGCAAAGCTGGATTATTTAGGGACAGAGTATGTCAAGTGGAGGTATTTTGAGCTTTTTAAACGTTTCTCCTTTAAGCCACTGGTCCTCAAACCTTAGTGCACATCAGAACCACTTGGAGGGCTTCCTGAAACAGGTGGCTCAGCCCTACCTCCAAAGTTTCTGATGGGGCTTGTCTGGATGGGCACCAGTTTAACACACTCCCAGGTGATAGTGATCCGCTTATGCTGCCGGTCTGGGGACTGTACCTTGAGAACTATTACTAGGAGAGATTTACTAGAGATGTTTGAGCCTGGAGAGCACTCCATGGAATTGCTTTTGGAATATTATGTAGGATTGTGCTGAGCAGGCTGGGAGGAGTTAATGAGAGTTAGCATCTACTTTATACGAATCAGTCCATGAAGTGAGGCCACGTTATCCCAAGTCTTACTAGTGTTTTCACTTCTCGTAATCCTGTCACCTGACCTAACCTATTTTATTGCACTGTGCCCATGTTGAATAGTGAGGAACCTCTCCTTTTTCAACGGTTTGGTCTTCCGGTTTTCTGCAGTCACTTGTCCCAAGTTTTGTTTTGTTTTGTTTTGTTTTGTTTTGTTTTGTTTTGTTTTTTAAGATCTTATTTATTGAAGTGCCTGGGTGGCTCAGTTGGTTAAGCGTCCGATTCTTGATTTCGGCTCAGGTCATGATCTCACGGTTTGTGACTTCGGGTCTAGCATTGGTCTCTGCCCTGACAGTTGGGAGCCTGCTTGGGATTCTCTCTCCCTCTGTCTCTGCCCCTCCTCACTCATACTCTTTCTCTTTCTAAATAAAATAATTTTTAAAAACTTAAATAAGGATTGTATAATAAAATTAAAATAATAATTGTAAAATTATAATAAAACCTTTATTTCTTTTTAGAGAAGTGGGGAAGGGTAGAGGGAGAGAGAAACTCTTAAGCAGGCTCCCCACCCAGCACAGAGCCTAATGTGGGGCTCGATCTCACCACCCTGAGATCATGACCTGAGCTGAAATCAAGAGTCGGTTGCTCAACTAACTGAGCCACCCAGGCGCCCCTCTCTTTTCCCAAGCTTTAAGTACCACATTGTGAGGTTGTCCAGGCCATAGTCTTTTTAGGCATTTTATTCCCATTCAGTATCTTGTTTCTGTTTTGGCAGTTTCCTTTCTCCAAATAGAGGATAACTTTTTATATTTTTATATTCTTTTTATTTCAGAATGGAAAACAGAAGCCCAAGAGTGTACTCCAGTTACAGATACTTCTAAGTTCACAAAGACTGGTACTCAGACCATCAAGTTGGAGGAACCATATGACTACGATGACAGATTAGAGAGGCAAGCAGCAGATACCTTCAGGAAAATTCCCACCAGCGGAAGAAACTCCCCTTTGAAGTCCGTCCTCTCACAAGAAGATGACCCTATGGAAGAGTGTCTTAGTAAATATGATATATATAGAAATAGTTTTGAAAAGCATTCGAACCTAATTATTCAGTTCGGTACCCAATCAGATAATAAAACTATGTATGATGAAGGCAGGGCAACCTTCAATCATGTCTCATATGGTATTGTACATAGAAAGATATACCCTGGAGAGAAGCCTTATAAGTGTAACGTGTGTGGGAAAAAGTTTAGGAAGAACCCGTCCTTCGTGAAACACCAAAGTACCCATGCCAAAGAAAAATCTCATGAATGTGAAGAATGTGGGAAAGAGTTTAGGCATATCTCATCCCTTATTGCACATCAGAGAATGCATACCGGAGAAAAACCATATGAATGCCACCAGTGTGGTAAAGCCTTCAGCCAGCGTGCACACCTTACCATACATCAGAGAATTCATACTGGAGAGAAACCCTATAAGTGTGATGACTGCGGAAAAGACTTCAGTCAGCGTGCACACCTGACTATACATCAAAGGACACATACTGGAGAGAAACCATATAAATGCTTGGAATGTGGTAAAACCTTCAGCCACAGTTCATCACTGATTAATCATCAGCGAGTTCACACCGGTGAAAAACCTTATATATGCAACGAGTGTGGGAAAACTTTCAGTCAGAGTACACACCTTCTTCAGCATCAAAAAATACATACCGGAAAGAAACCGTATAAATGCAACGAGTGTTGGAAAGTGTTTAGTCAGAGTACTTACCTTATTCGACATCAGAGAATTCATTCCGGAGAGAAGTGTTATAAATGTAATGAATGTGGAAAAGCCTTTGCTCATTCCTCAACTCTCATTCAACATCAGACTACTCACACTGGAGAGAAATCCTATATATGTAAGATCTGCGGAAAAGCCTTCAGCCAGAGTGCAAACCTCACTCAACACCATAGAACACATACTGGGGAGAAACCATATAAATGCAGCGTGTGTGGAAAAGCATTCAGCCAGAGCGTACACCTTACTCAGCATCAAAGAATTCATAATGGAGAAAAACCCTTCAAATGCAATATATGTGGGAAAGCATATAGACAGGGTGCCAATCTCACTCAACATCAGAGGATTCATACCGGAGAGAAGCCGTATAAATGTAATGAATGTGGGAAAGCTTTTATTTATTCCTCGTCACTTAATCAACATCAGAGAACTCATACTGGAGAACGGCCCTATAAATGTAATGAATGTGATAAAGATTTTAGCCAGCGAACATGCCTTATTCAACACCAGAGAATTCACACAGGGGAGAAGCCCTATGCATGCCGTATATGTGGTAAAACCTTCACCCAGAGTACGAACCTCATTCAGCATCAGCGTGTTCATACTGGTGCCAGACATCATAATTAATGGATGTGGCAGATGACTTGACTTAGGTTTTACAGTTCACCCGAATTTTATTTTGTGCTCCGTTAAAACATTATTCAAAAGAAGTGCAATATATGTTAGATATCAGCAGAAGTATCAAAAGAAGTATCAGAATTAGTAATGTGGATATAAGCTATTTAAATTTAATGTGAAATTTAAAAAGAAAACTTTATTCACTTCTTAACCTTTATTTGACACTAGTTCAATTCATTCCAGAGAGAAACCCAATCTGTAACTCATCAACTCTTAGTGTATTTGAAGTACTTCTTAATGAGACCTTATGAATGTAACTTGGGAAAGCTTCCATCAAGTAGGGATTTCACACTAGCAGGGAATCTTGGGATAATTGAAAAAGCTGCTTTAAGGCCTTTATTACTTCCCAGCTTTGAAGCCTTAAATACATAAGGGGTTCCCTTCCCTTTTCCTATTAATGCCATAACTGCCATGTGGAGCCAGTAGGTTTGCAAAATATATACAGTGGAAGGTATCTTAATTTCTATGTGACAACTGTGTAATTACATTTTCCTTTACTGAAATATTCAAGGAAGAGAAGCTTAATGAAACATGATCTGTTAGGATAACTAACGTATATATAACCTTTAGACGTGTACAAATTAAACAGGCAAAAATTAAACACCCATCCTTAAATTCACCTTTAAAACATATTAGCCTTAGTTTCACTAGGTTTTGACATCTGTCATCCTAAAGGAAAAAATAAGAAAGTTACCTTTTTTTTTTTTCACCTGACTCCTAAACTCATAACTTGAGGTTCCCCTGTGGCTATTTTGCCATAGAAAGCCCATTTCCATTGAGACCCATTTCTCGAGTGCCTACTGTGCTCAGGGCCCAGACTTCCCAACTGGATCTTCACAGGGCTTGTGCTGAAAACCACAGCTGATTTAACAACAGAAAGCTTACTAAAGTAGTGAAATGTGACAAAGGACATGGTCTTAACTATTAAGTACTGTCACAGAATGACATAGGAAGCGTACTAAAATGGGTCGCCAAATGCAATCCCATATCCCAAGACAAAGCAGTAGTGAAAGCAGCTATTTACATAGTGTGAGGGAAAAATCATGGAAAATAGATTTAAGTTCACTACAGAAAGTGGGTCAGGGAAAAAATCAAGGGTGAAAACTTAGCAGTGAAGAAAGAATACACAGGTAACTTACCATATGAACTATTGTCGGACTTGGGTTACCTAAGAAAGTAAGAGTGGCTAATTAAGACCAAATTCAGCCTGTTTAGAAGAAAGAACTAAAAATGAAGCAACTGATTTGAAAAGAATAATTGGAATTGGTTCTTTTTCATACATGTAAGTAAAATAGGGATTACTCTTAAAATGTCAAAACATTTACTGGAGAAAGCATTGATGCAGAAACTCATTGATGCAACAGTCACTAGACAACATTAACTAAGTTTGTGGGGTCCTGAACATAAAAGGAAAACAGGCAGAAATGCAAATAGAAACAGGTAAAGATACTATTGTGCTTAATATCCACAGCATTCCACGATCAGAATAGAAGACCATATTCTGAGAGCTGAGATTTCATCTTGCTCTTAATTGTTTCTTCAGTGCCTTGCGTGTAGGTTGTGGTCGATCTGTGTCGGTTGAATTAATAAGTAGGTAAGTTAGAATTGAGTAATAAGGTATAATTAACGGATATGGAGTGAAGGTGGTTGAATTTAAAATACTTTTGTGCACACATGCAAAGAAATAAATACTGGTCATTCGCTGGGTAAGAGGAACTACTTAAAACTGAAGAATCAGAATTCTTAACAGTGGGGATATTCCTAAAGAAATCGTGGGACATCATTGCACAGGAAGTTTTCCTGAGCTAGATGAAGAAAAACTGATCTAAATTCTGGTGCCATAAATACCATTTTAAGCATAATGATTGACCATTGCAGTCTCGTTTGGATGTTACTGTTGATAGCAAACGTCCTGCAGACAGGTGCCGAAGGAAAGACCTGGGGTGCTAGCATCTTCAAGGCTTTCTTGTTGAGTGTTTTCTTCAAGAAGCTACTGCTTTCCCTTGTCTTCACCTCAGTTAACCCTGATGTCATGGAATCCTCCTTCACAAAGTGTAGATTGTCTTCAGGTTGCATAATACTCGAGTTAGGCTTATGCCATAGTTACCATGTTAGAAATAACCGTTGTACTTAAGATGCAATTTTTATTTATAATGCCACTTCAAATCTTACACAACACTTTTTCCCCTCCTGGCATGAATGTGTGGAGTATTGCAGTCCATAGCGCCTTTTTTCGCTTTGATTTTTATTTCCTGCCTTTGTTTTATGTAAATAATGCATTTATAAAGTCTTCCACTGATACGCTGAGGCAATGGATGCCCTTAGACAGTAACAGAATAGTGGAGAATCATGGATCTTTGTGTATTTTTCCCACTTTTTACAGTTGTCTGATCCACATGTAATTCAAGTTTTTTGGTTTTTTTTTTTTTTAGCAGATAGTCTTATTTTACACAACTTTTTATTACAAAGATGTTGAAATATACAGAAAAGTTAATAAAATGAACGGTATATCTACCACCTAGCTTTAAATTTTAACATTTTTTACTGAACGACTGGAAAGTTACTTAGACGTGACATGTCACCCCTAAATACTTCAGCATGCATCTCATAAAAATAAGGACTTTCACATTACCACATACATTACATACCTTGAAAAATGAGTAAGAATTCTCTAATCTTTAATGTTTCATGTTTAAATTTTCCCTGCTGATCCCAACAAGTTTCACACATTATGTTCAATTACTATGTCTGTTTCATCTGTCCAGGTGTCTCCACTTCTGATTTTCTCTAGGACTTTTTTTTTTTTTTTTTTTTTTTTTTTTTTTTTTAATAGAGCAGGTCAGTTGTAGAATGTCTCACATTCAGGATTTAACAGATTGTTTACATATGGTTTATCTTGTTCCTGTACCCCCTGTGGCTTCTGTAAATTAGTATTTATGGCCAAAGCCTTGATTGGATTCAGGTTAAATATACATGTTTAATATTAACACTTCACCGATGTGTCTCCTGTTGCATCAAATCAAAAGTCTTATTAGTATCTGGTTGACCATCCGTGATGTGAATCATGGTAATCACCGTATCTTCCCAACGTGCAGATGTGTTTTTTCCGTTGCAGTTACTCCGGACTGACGCTGGCAGGGTGTGGATAGCTTGTTCAGCAAGAACTTTTCACCTGGCACTTGTAGTACCCAGTGATGACGATCGTTCCCCAAATCAGTTATTTCCTTAAGATTGGCAAAACGGCAATTTTCTATCATTCTCTCAACGTTTCCCGATGCGTAAGTCTGTAAGGCAGAGCTTTCTGTCATTTGGAAGCGCACTAGAGGCAAGGTGCTACTTAAATTCTTTACTTACCAGTTTTCAGAGTGAGGAGTTGGCAGTGATGACCGATTATTCCATGTGTTTACGTCAATCATGGCCATTGTTTCTGTTGCTCAGATTGTCCCACGTGTGGCCAGTTGGAACCCTTCCAGTAGCTCTTACGTCCCTTGTCATTCCTTGTCTAGCCTTTGGGGACTTCACTGCCTTCTGACACACGAGATCTCAGGTTCAATGCCCCAGATGCGGAATGAGCCATGTCTCCCGCAATCCCTGGCTAAGTCAGCAACTGTTTAGAAACCGAGATCTGGACGCTAGGTACGCTCGTTGCTGCTGGGGTGTCATTAGCAGGTAGCCTTTGGGTCTTAACTGTTCAACTTAGTTCTTGTAAAGGCAACTCTGCACTCATTTCGTCACTTACAGAATCTCTAAGAGCCGCCATTACATACCGGGACAAACCGGGGAGCAGACAACTTAGCCTTTTAAGCATACAGCTAAACTGGAGAGGACGGAAGTGATAGGTATACTAAAAAGCAGCAAGCGCAACCCCAAGAGGTCTTGTACCAGGACCAGCAGAGTTTAAGGAAGGGAGCATGTCAGTTAATATGTGGTACCTAGTATGTCTTAACTATTACATGTCTTGGTAATTCATGTATTTATAAGCTGATCATCTTTCCCATCACATTCCTTAAGGCAGGTTTCTGATAAGATCTAAATCTGAACCCTGACGATCTGTTTCCTGCAAATCTAAGTGCCAGTTTTTCTTGCTAAACTTTTATTTGGTCTTCAAAACTAAGAGTGTTAGGTTTCATTCTTCAACTGTATCTTCTGGTATCGATTCACTTGCATGTGCCTGTAAATGTGCTTAGTCCTCTATTTTGTTACTCTCTTCCTGGCTCTATATTTCACTACAGTTACCAGCCCCTTGGAACACTGTAGCCATTAAGAATGGCAAGCATGTGCACTACAGTGATCTGTGTAAATATGTGTGTGAACTCGCAAGCAACGCTAAGTCCTCTGTATGGATGGGGAAAGTGATACCCATGATGCTGAAGTGTCTTGCCTGAGGTCATACGGTCCTACAGCGACAGAATAAGGGTCCGGACCCATGCCTCCGGCACTTAGTTGAATTCTTCCTGTAAAATTAATGCTAATGGAAATCCCGAGCACAAACAGTATGTACCTACAATTTTATAAAACTGTATTTTGATGAGATTAGAGCATGGAAGGTTTATTTTTGTCTCCCCTTCTCTATAGTTTCCTAAATTCAGATCTTTCAATGAGACTAGCCCCATCAAGAATGCACTCCTCTCTCCCCTCACTTCAGTTTTGGTCTCCCACCCAGATCTTTCCCCAGCTTCAGAACCATATAGTCAATGTTATCATCTGGAACTATCTCAAAAGTACCTTCAGTGGTTTAATCTAAAACAGAACTTTCATCCCCAAATCTCTATGTTAATTCACGGTAACTTTGAGAGGCTAGTTCGCCTGTAGTTACCATCCTATTGGCTTTACTTTCCATGTGTTCCAGTCCAGTCTCTTTTCTATCCCCACTGCCACTACCTCATTTCAGGCTTTTAATCAGCTTTCGTTTTGATTCTTTCATAACCAGGTAAATGTTCATCCTGCCC